CCCATCAACCAAAAGAGCCAAGAAGTAGCCGAAGTTCGCTAATAATTGCGACATTTGAAAACTAAATTTTTCAAAGTTGCCGAAATTCTGTTGTGAGTATACTAGTGTAAAGTACTCGAAAGGATTCGGGCGGTATAAAGAATCACTCAAATGAACTTTGAATGAACCTATACAGCTGCTGAGAAGTCGAGCGCGTATATAGCACTCATTTTCCCCACAATTCTGAAGTTGCAGAAAATTCAAGAGAAATTATTTGGTGCTTTGCTATTGAGTTACAACCGTTAATCTAAACCGTCTAAATTGTTTTGGCTTGATCTAAGCCATCTAAAGTCTAATTTTGACGATCCAATAGTGTTTTTTTAACTATTTGGAATATTCTGAACACATCTGTATGGTCAGATTTTACAAATTCCATACCTATAATTTTCATATTTTATTTGAAGAAATGAAGTGAAAAAATATTCTTCGGAGCGTGATACATCACAGATGGGCGTTAGAAGATATCGCAGATATCGTGGATGAGACAAACAACATGTGGTTGCTCTGTGATGTTGAAGAGACATAAGTCAACAGGTGGTTGACTATAGTCGACAACAGGTGGTTGTACCACACAACATACAACAGATGGTTGTTCTGTAAGAGAGAAGATATCAACATGAGGTTGATAGCACCCAACAACATAAGGTTGTTTTGAGAGAGATAGAAGTCAGTAGAGGGTTGACTACAAAGACCAGACAAGAGTTCATCCACGAGCATATATGAGGCATCGTGTAAAGAATCTAACAAATTGAGTTTGTGGGGGAATGTTGAAAAAACAAACTCAATTTGAGTTTGAAGATGGTGAATTCCAGAGAAGAGGAGAAGCTACCAGAGGATTCAAGAGTCAAGAAGAGAAGTTCAAAATGAAGAAGAAAATGGAAGCAGCTAGAAGGAAAAAGAAGCTTCAAGGAAACTCCATTGATGAAGCTTAAAGAGAAAGAGAACACTGTAGTACACACGGTTTGTACACAGATTGAAAATTTATAAATGGATAGGTTGTATGTTTGTTTGAGATAGGGTGGAAGAAAATGTAATCTCTAGGGAGAAACATAACATCTCTAGATAAAGAGAACTCCAAGAGAGTAGAGAGTGTGAGAGTTTACAGAGAGTTTGCTCTGTTTTGTATAATTTGTTCGTGATTAAATAAAATGAGTGTTTATTCAATTAAATCCTCTCTTTGTATATCTACACAACTGGTATACATCCCTCTTCCACTTTAAACACCTTCAAAGCATTGAAGAAATCTATAGTAGCGTTGTCAATGAATATCCATTCTGCAAAGCTAATGTTGAGACTGCAAACCACATCTTTCTGTTATGTCCTATGATCGTGAGAGTATGGTCAGAGATGCCACAATGGCAGGACTTGCAGTGGGCATCACCTCCAACTGTGGAAGGTGTACTTTACTGGTGGATGGGAGCTAATATTAAAAAATCAATATAAAAAATTTGGAAACTTGTTCACGTGGCAATGTTATGGTCAATTTGGAGATTGAGAAATAATTGTGTGTTTAACAATTGTTAGCCTAACATGGTAGAGCTTGTGGAGATTGTGAAGGTGAGGGTTGCCCTTTGTGCTAAGTCTAACCTGAAGGAAATCTCATATTTAGTGCATGACATTGTGGAGAATCTTAGTCAGATCAGGCATACTCAATTTGGTGGTGGTTAGCTGTGAAGTTGTGCTACTGTGTATTTATTGCTGCTGCTTGGTGTTTTGTTTCTTATGCTTCTTTGGTTAGTCCCTCACCAACTGGGTTTGGATGCTATCATATGATTGGGCATGCTTTTCGGTGCCAACATAGTTGGGATTGTTGGCATGTTTTTCTGTGCCAACATAGTTAGGACAAACCAACATAACCCAAAAATAGTTAAATATAATATCTTTATACTTTGTATTGTAATTTCATCAATACAGGTCTCTTTTTTGTTGATAAAAAAAAATATACCGTTTAACACTTCCACTCATTAAATTAGCAAATACTTAACCACAAAATGGACAACCCCACTTCTATCACGTTTTGTCAAATAACGCAATTTAACAAGTTATTTTAACTCAATAAACTAGTGATTCTAACATTACTGACAAATTTAAAGATTGATATGATATCAGTTGAATACTCTAACTAGATCAATACTTCATATATATATATATATATATATATTTAAATGTTACAAAGACAAATATATCAAAGCTAAACTCATTGAAGATAGATGCGACGAATGCTTCTGATTGGGACCTGCTTCTTACAAGTTGGGCAGTTTTTATGAGCTCGAATTTCTTTTAAAATGCAAGCTTTGCAGAAAATGTGGCCACACTTGATTGATGATTCTTCCTTCATTGTATCCATGCATATTGTGCAAGTGAACCCCCCTTCCTCTGGCACTTGTTTGGTTTGACTTCTTGATACATTTCCAGTTTTTTCCTTCTATGTATGGACAAATTATTAATAACATCATCATTTTAAAGTTCTAACACAATTAGTTGATGAGGACTGATTAAGACCCCATCAAAACTCCCACTCCCACCACCCCCCCCCCCCGACACACACACACGTGGGGGTTGGAGATTGGGAGAGAAGAAAAAAAGAAAGGAAAAATGGACCAATCAAAGGCAAAAGGGGTCAAAGGGGGTGGGTGGAAAGGGGCTCTTAAACATTTTTGTTAGTTGAAATAGAGTTATAAATGAATCATATTACTAAAACTCAGATTCATATTTAAGTTTGTTGTTGTTTGATTATATATAAAATGGTGAAGGTTATATATATGGTACAAATGTCATTACTACTTTCTACAAGTGCTACATAGAAACATATATGGGGAGAATATGTTGATCTTGAAAAGGCGCATATGGCTTCTTGTTATTAATTTTCTTACATTTTTAACATAAATCACGGAAAGATATAAATTTTCTCATTGCAAAGTGCTATAAAATTTTCAATTAAGAACGTGATAATAAAAATCACTAAGTGCTGTAATTTTAGCATTCATAACTTTAGGGTGCACACCATAATTCACTATTTGTAATTTTATTGTAACTTCCTTACAAAATATACTTTTTTTCATGGTGTAAATTTCTCCATATATATTTATTTATTTGGGGCAAATTATATTTTGCTTCTCTTGTTTTATTTTGTCTATTAATTTTTCACAGTGTACTAGTTTAGTCTAGTTCATAAGGTTCATAAAAAAAGTAGACAAATTAAAAACAAAATATTCCAAAAAGGGAATGAATTTCACATTGCACTAACTTCTCAATCAATTTAAGAGTGAAAATACTTTTTTCTTCCTTGATTTCAATCTAATTTAGGAAGAGCTACTATCTATTGAATTAAATTGACATAATCTTGTTTTTTTTTTTTTATAAAAAAAAAGCGAATAAAATAAATACAATTAGAACTATAATAATCAAATTTACATCAGAGACATATATAATTTGCCCTATATGCATACATATATATATATATATATATATTAATGTGACACGTGCGGATATTTTACCCAATGTAAACAATGAAGAGACAATAGTTACTCTTACATTCATTTGGAGAGTAGTTTTCAATTGGGCAAATTACATCGATAGCCTTATATTTTATACATTGTGTAATTTTGATTCGTACATTTTTAATTGATTCAATTTTGACCATTAATTTTAGATTTTATTTCAATTTGGTCCAATTGATAATACTGTTAGTGTTTTTGAAAGAAAAATATCATTAAATTAGTTGAGATTAACTCACAGAGTCGAGTAATTTTATAATTTTGCCTTTAAAAAATATGACACATTTCACTTATATGCGTATTTTTCATAAAAAAATTATAAGAGTTATCATCAATTGGACCAAATTGTGACAAAATCATAAATTTTGGGTCAAAAGCAAGCCAATTAAAATTACAGAGACTTAAATAACATAATAATCAAAATATAAGGATTTTCATCGTAATTTGCCCTTTTTAATTTTACTAGAAGACAGAAATAAGAGGAAAATCATATTTTGTTATCCTTCTCCTTTCATATCGCTTTGGCCCACCATTTTAACCAAAATATATTTCTTCAGACACTTTTGTATCCAAAAGCAAAAAAAATTCAATATCCAAAAGGGTATTCACCTAATTCAAAAGTGTAGATTTTACAATTTTACACCAAATAAAAAGTGTGTAGTTGACGCATTCAAAACTTATGTGAACAAAATCGAAATCAATTCAGACAAGAGGGGGAAAAAAATTCAATAAATTGATGTGCACCTGTTTTGGATTTTCACCGGATGAATCTCCTCCAAATGCTATCAAACCAATTAGATGTTAGCAAGGAAAAAAACATCAGCAATGAAAATAATCATATTTTGTTTGTTTTGATGAAAAACATTTTTTTTAAAGTAAAATATATTTTTTGTAGAAATTTTTTCTAATATTTAATAGCAACTTTAAAAATATTGTACTAAAGATTATGTGATGGTGGTAGTAGGGTGATGATGATGTGATGGTAGTGGCAGGGTGGTGGATGTAGTGGTGGTGATGGTGACAAAAGTTTAATGCGGAAAGAGTTTTTACGTTTTTTGTCCAAATAAATTTATTTTTAGTGATAAAAAAATTATTTTTTTATTATTTTGGTTTTCAATAGAATCAAATATTAAAAATTATTTTTAAAAAGTTATTTTTTACCAAAATAAACGGGATAAAGAAATCATGTAGTAAGTTAATTACCATTTGGGTGTCCAATGCCAATCCCAAGTTCTAATTCCTCCTTAGTTAAAGGTTCATCTGATGTTAGAGGAGGAAAATGTACCACAGTCTGTCCAAAGCAACCATAAATATAAATATAAACATATGTATATATATATTATATAATGTAAATATATAGAACAAAAATATTAAAAATGAATAACAATAATTTTGTAAGTTACAAGCTCTTGGGTAACATACATACCCCTAAATATGTTTCAGGGTTATGTGTATGCATACACTACAGGAAAAATGGGATATGGTGGCGTTTTTTTAACGACGTTTTTTTGAACGTCACTTTTATTAATATTTAACGGCGTTTTATAAACGCCACCTATTCTTTAAAATAAAACTACACCGTTTTATAATAGGAGTCGCTTTTAAACGCCTCCAAATCCGTTAGCCTCACGCGCCTCCTCTGTCCCTCTTTGTTGAAACCCTTATTTTGAATCTGAGATGTAATACGCACGCATCTCTCTCTCTTTCTCTCAACCCTCTCATTCTCACACCTTCAAATCTCGCCTCTCTCCTGCTCACCCCCAATTGCTTCTAAACCCTCGAGAGCGATTTTCTTGGAGATTCAGATTCATGCAGGTTCATTTTGAGATTCAGAGCGATTTCGATTTTGAAGATCTCTCTCTCGATTTCAAAGCTCCACCGTCTCTCTCTCTCTCTCTAGATCTGGCCGGTAATCATAGTTTTATGAGAGAAGAAAGAGGACAGGGACTGGGAGCTTGCGAAGAGAGAGGCAGTGCTTGATTTCTCAGAGATTCAGATCGGTCTCAGAGATTTCATCTCTCAGCGATTTCGATTTTGAAGTTCTCTCTCTCGATTTCGAGGCTCCACCGCGACCACCATCTGCACCAGCTAGGTATTGATTTCTGTCTCTCTCTCTCATGCTCTTCCTTCCCGTCTCTCTCGATTTGGTTATTGAAATTACAAACAAGTTTAATCAGGATTTGCTGGCCTTGTGTGAAAGTGACCGGAAGAAGGAGCTTTTGCTGCTACTACAGATCATTGACATAAAGATTATTTCTCTAGGTCATCTACCAAATATTTTCAGATCCTTGGGGAGGCTTTTATTGGAGTCTTTTGTGAAGAAATTCATTTTGGAATTAAAAAGCTGTGGTATGTCCATGATTCTTTCATTTTTATGATTTATAAATATAGCAAAGACCGAGTGCTCATTTTCTCGATTATGAGTCCAGAAATTTGTCTGTCTCTGATTTTGCAGCAGTGCTATTTATACTTGGGTTCAGATTTTGAAGCGAATTGGCATCCTTAATGGAAGTATTAGTACCTTTTGTGTGTTCTGTAACAATTGGGTTGAGGAAAAATGGACCATGTTCTGTTGCTCTACCCGTTGAGTTGGTGTGTTTGGTCGAATATTTTAATTGGTGGGGAATCCAATGGGTCACGCCGGGTCCGGTGATAGAGTTGTTGCATTGGTGGGATGGGGTTTCTTTCAGAAAGATAGAAAAACAAATTTGGAAAGTAATCCCCATGGCAATTTTGCTGCTCAAAAATAAATAAATAAAAATTGCCAACAGGGTGAAGCTTAACCTCAAGGGAGTTTTGTATTCTGTCAATGATTTTCTATATAACCTGCAGCATATTCGGTCATGTTATTAGACTTGTGGTTAGGATTGTTGTTAGATATTGGCTATGTTGTTTCTTGTTGGTTTTGCTTGGGCCTTCTCTATTGACATTTTAAAGGGTTGATTGTTTAGTTTCTATTAGGGGTATTCAAAATAGCCTGAGAACTGAAGAATCGAAGAATCGAATTAAACCGGTCTCTTTGGGTTAGCTTGATTTGGTTTTTTTAGTCCATTGGTTTGGTTCCGGATCTTCAATTTGTCAAATTGATAGGATTGAGTTGTTTCTTAATTTAGACCTGATTTAAACCTAATCAACTTGAGAATCAAACCTATATATGCATATATAATTTTTTTTTCTTTTTTTAATATTGACGTGTCTTTATATTACCATGGTTTTGTATGTGATTTCAAAATCCTCTTTTCATGAAGCTTGTGCAATTGAACAAATTTTGAATTATTGGTCCAAGAGTGATAGATTCTGCTTCATGTTAAATGATTTAGCCTACTAACAAGGTAAATGATTTAGTGTAGAGAATAAGAGAAATTATGAGCCGTATGTATGTGAATTATGAAATGTTAGACTCTATTTCAAGTTATTCTTTAAATAGCATGTGTCAAAGTTCAAATGAAATGGAAGTTGATAAGCTCATTGATGGTTGTTGTGGTGAACATGTGAAGTCTCTTCAATTTGAATTTTTGAAGCACTTGGAAGAAGAAGAAAATGTTGATGCAAAATCAGAGACAGACAAATTTCTGGACTCATAATCGAGAAAATGAGCACTCGGTCTTTGCTATATTTATAAATCATAAAAATGAAAGAATCATGGACATACCACAGCTTTTTAATTCCAAAATGAATTTCTTCACAAAAGACTCCAATAAAAGCCTCCCCAAGGATCTGAAAATATTTGGTAGATGACCTAGAGAAATAATCTTTATGTCAATGATCTGTAGTAGCAGCAAAAGCTCCTTCTTCCGGTCACTTTCACACAAGGCCAGCAAATCCTGATTAAACTTGTTTGTAATTTCAATAACCAAATCGAGAGAGACGGGAAGGAAGAGCATGAGAGAGAGAGACAGAAATCAATACCTAGCTGGTGCAGATGGTGGTCGCGGTGGAGCCTCGAAATCGAGAGAGAGAACTTCAAAATCGAAATCGCTGAGAGATGAAATCTCTGAGACCGATCTGAATCTCTGAGAAATCAAGCACTGACTCTCTCTTCGCAAGCTCCCAGTCCCTGTCCTCCTTCTTCTCTCATAAAACTATGATTACCGGCCAGATCTAGGGAGAGAGAGAGACGGTGGAGCTTTGAAATCGAGAGAGAGATCTTCAAAATCGAAATCGCTCTGAATCTCAAAATGAACCTGCATGAATCTGAATCTCCAAGAAAATCGCTCTCGAGGGTTTAGAAGCAATTGGGGGTGAGCAGGAGAGAGGGATACTACAACGAAGGTAACCTCCAGGTATGGAAAGATAGATGCCTGAGGAGGGATAAAGAGGTGAAAGAGATGGCAAACAAGCTGGCGGACCTCCAATCGGTCGTCAACTTCATGATGCAAAACAACGTCATGCAGCCACCATTCCCGCTGCAGGACACGCCGATTCCGGCGGCCAACGCCCAGAAGGGAGGACAGAAATCTATCCCTGTAGTCCCCCAGCATGCCAAGAGTGAAAGACATGCTCATCGGCCTCCAAGGGAGGTCGGGTGAGGAGAGCCAAGAAGGGAAGAATCTCGAAGGACACACCGCACCAACGAGGTAGACCCCAAAGAACATTGTCATATTCAAAGGCAGGAGTTATGCTTCGATGCGACCAATGGAGAAATGTCAAAAAGGGTTCACAATGAAGCTGAAAGTAGTGCACCTAAAAGACTAAAATCAGAAGACAGCCGAGCTCCTGGCCGGACCAAAGAGGACTTGAGAGATTACCTCAAGAGGAAGCAAGATCATGCCGAGGTAACTTCAACTATTAAACCGAGAACACCATTCTCGGTAGAGCTAGACAAAGTTGAGGTCCCGAAGAGATTCAGTATGCCGAGGTTCCAGATATACGATGGGAAGTCGGACCCCAACTTTCACGTCGGATTATACCTGAATGCGATGGCATTGTACACTAGGAACGAGCCGTTACTCTACAAAGTGTTTCCCTCATCATTCGGGGAGATTACATCGGATTGGCTTCACAAACTGCCGAAAGGAAGCGTGAAGACCTGGAAAGGCCTGGTCGATCGAGATGTTCGTGGCCAGATTCGTGGCAAACAAACTATAGCCCTTGAGGGTAGACGCCCGCTCTGAAGATTGGCAATGATGAAAGCCTGAGGGCCTACGCTAAGAGATATTATGAAGTGTTCAACCGAATACCAGAATGCAACCAAGAAGTGGCCGTCGTGTCATTTAAAAACGACCTGAAAGATGGCGGCCTACTTCGAAAATCACTGGCAAAAACATTGCCAAAAAGCATGGAAGAGCTCATGGCCAGAATTGAGAAATATGCCAGAGCCGAGGAAATCACGCTAGGAACAACAGCGATAAAGCAAGAAAAAAGAAACAGCTCGCCGAAGCGAGGCCGAGGTAACAACGGATCCAACAAGCAGGAGGTAGGACTAAGGGCTGCACAAGCAGTCACAATTGTGTTCCGGATCCCTATTCACAAAGTCCTGGATAAAATCCAAACCCAACCCTATTTCAAAACACCAGCAAGGGTACCATGAGAGTTTATGGGACAAAGCCTTGGTAAGCATTGTGCTTACCATAACGAAGATGGGCATATGACCCAGGGTTGCAGAGCCTGAAGGCACACCTGGAAGACCTGGTAAGGCAAGGCCATTTGAGAGACCTTGTAGATGAGGCCAGGACAAAGGAAGAGCAGACAAAACTACCTCAGGCACCGGCAGCTCCACCTCCCCCTGCACAGCAGTCGCAGACAGGCGGACCTCGGGTGATTAATGTAATTCACTCGAAGGTCAACGAAAATGAAATACGGGGGGAGACCCAAAAAGTAAGGCACTTGCAACATGTGTACCAAGTCAAGGAGAAGAGACATCCGGCAGAGGAGTACCAAGGACCAGTAGTGTCCTTTACTGAAGCTGACATGGAGATGGTCCAACATCCGCACAACGATGCTTTGGTAGTATCCCTCCAGGTTGGGGAGTGCCAAGTGAAGCGCATCTTCATCGACCAAGGCAGCTCTTGTGACATCATGTATGTCCGATGTTACAAGGAGTTTGGCCTTCACCCAGACAATATGGAACAATCCAATGGCCTAATGGTCGGGTTCAATGGAACGCCGACATGGCCGCCGAGCGCAACAAACTTAGATGTGTAGGCTAGCACGAAGAAGATAAAGACAGAGTTCACCGTAATCAACACACCCTCCCCTTACAATATTATCTTGGGAAGGCCATGGTTCCATGCAATGGGGGCTGTTCCCACAACGTTGCATCAACTATTGCGGTTTCCAATAGAGCATGGATAGAGGAGGTCAGAGGAGATCAATTGCAGGCAAAGAACTGCTCCATGGCAGCAATGAAATCCACCTGCAGTATACGAGAACCAGAGAAGGCAGAGATTGAAGACAAAGAGGTGGAAGTCCTAGACGACGTCAGCAATAAGCCAGCCGAGAAGAGTGAAGAAGCACTGAAGAGAATCCTCATCTAGGAGAGGGATGAAGAACGCTTCTTTTTTCTCGGCTCAAGCTTAGCCGAAGAAGAGGAACAAGAGTTGGAGGCTTTCCTGAGAGCAAATATTGAGGTGTTTGCTTAGACGCCTTATAAAATGCCTGGCATTGACCCTGAGGTCACTTGCCATAAACTGAACGTTGACAGGTCGTCCAAACTTGTAATCCAACGAGCAAGAAGACCGACGTTGATGCACGTCGAAGTAGTAGAAGAGGAAGTAGATAGGCTTCTGGAGGCCAGGGCCATTATAGAGGTTAATTACCCGAAATGGCTATCAAATACAATGGTGGTGAAGAAAAAGAATGGTAAATGGAGGGTCTGCGTGGACTTTACCAGCCTGAACAAGGCCTGTCCCAAAGACAGCTTTTCGCTACCCAAGATTGACCAGCTGGTGGATGCCACTTCAGGGCATGGAAGGGTGAGCTTCCTGGATGCCTACAGGGGGTACCATCAGATAGCTATGTACCCCCCAGATGAGGAGAAGACTGCGTTTATCACCCCAAAAGGGCTGTATTGCTACAGAGTGATGCCCTTTGGGTTAAAAAACGCAGGAGACCAGCTGGTGGATGCCACTTCAGGGCATGGAAGGATGAGCTTCCTGGATGCCTACAGGGGGTACCATCAGATAGCTATGTACCCCCCAGATGAGGAGAAGACTTCGTTTATCACCCCAAAAGGGTTGTATTGCTACAGAGTGATGCCCTTTGGGTTAAAAAACGCTGGAGCAATTTACCAAAGACTAGTAACCAAGATGTTCAAACACCTGATTGGCAGAACGGTAGAAGTTTACATCGATGACATGGTCGTGAAGACCAAGGAACCTAAAGGTCATTTGGCCGACCTAAAAGCAGTCTTTGACATCCATAAAACATATCGGCTCCGACTCAATGCATCGAAATGTGCATTTGGAGTTGGATCTGGTAAGTTCTTGGATACCTAGTGACCAGAAGGGGCATTAAGGTCAACCGAGATCAGATTAAGGCCATCCTAGAGTTGAAGAGCCTGACGTCGGCGAAACAGGTGGAAATGCTGACTGGAAGGGCTGCAGCCCTGAACAGGTTCATAAGCAGAAGCTCTGAAAAATGCAAACCCTTTTTTCAGCTTAGTGAAAAAGACCACAGACTTCTTATGGATAGAAGAGTGCGAAGTCGCCCGGGCCGACTTAAAGAAATACTTGACCACGGCTCCAGTTCTCTCAAATCCAGAACCTAGAGAGGAGTTGTTCCTGTACTTAGTAGTTTCAGAGCACGCAGTAAGCGCAGTGGTAATCCAAGAAGAAAAAGGGGAGCAAAGGTCTGTTTACTGTGTAAGCAAAGCCCTGGCTGATGAAGAAACCAGGTATTTACCCCTAGAGAAATTGACGCTGGCCTTAGTAATGGCTTCAAAGAAGCTAAACCATTACTTTCAAGCCCACAAAATTGTGGTGCTAACAGAACACCCTTTGAAGTCACTGTTGTAACAAGGGGATCTGATAGGCAGAATAGCCAGATGGGTAGTGGCCTTGGGACAGTATGACCTGGAATACAGACCCAGAACAGCGATCAAAGGCCAAGTCTTGGCTGACTTTGTAG